TCCTAGGTTTGATGAGAGTTTAACACGAACATCTATCTGTACCTTACCCTGTATTTGTGAAGATGTGTTTTTCGCTTGTCTCAACTTGGATCTCGTGCCTGAATTTTTGGGTAAATTTTCGACTGGGTTGAAGAGGCAAGTTGTGACAGGTACCCTACAGCTCAGTTCATGAATTTGCAGGGCGCTTAGCTAAACAATGCAGCGCACTCACACGTGTGAGTAGCTCGTTAATTTGGATGGGCCTCTAATGACCTCTTGATGCCTCCAGCTGAGCAAAACGCACAGGAGAAGCTGGCTGGGATGGCATGAGGCTTCCTAAATTAGATGAGAATGATGGTAACGACCTCAAAAGACAAAGTCTATGTTTTTGCTTGAAATTTAATGAAATTAATGGAGAATCCTCCACTTACTGTATCATGCTACTACTTGTAATTGGTAACAGAAAGCAAATGAGCAAATGGAGCTAGGGGAAGGTACACAAATTGTACTAGTAAGCTTTGGACCTGTGCTCGAGGCATCTGGTGGTGTACAATCTCATCTTTCAGGTAACGTGGTTTGGTTTTGTTGTACTTCTGTTCAACAAAAAACTATACCTCTTTATATAGCGTGACGCTGGTGTAATGTGCTGTTGATATGAATGCAATTTCCTCAGTTCTTAAGCAGCTAAAATAGTTTGGCTGTACAGCACTTGCAATGGCTTTGTTAAAAAAATAAAAACAACAGAAAGCACACACACACAAATCCAAACAAAACAGCTCTTGCAAAACAAAGAGGAATAATTAAGAAGGTGGTTAAATAGAAATGATCTTGAATGATAAATCACTTGATTAGTTTTTGCTCTTTTTTTAAAAATCATTTATTGTAGATGAGAATAGGTAGAACTGATACACGATGCTCACACTCCACATCATTTAGATCCATCTGTAAATGTAGAGCTGTTGCCACACTTCCATTCTATATGCTGCATATTTTGCAAACAGCTACACCTACACACAGACAGCACGAGGCATTAGGGCTTTGATTTCCAGGATGCTGTATGTACGTGGAGCCTGCAAGCTGTGAAATGGCAGTCATTCCAAACCTGACTCAACTGATTTGGCTGAGTGTTAGCAACAGAAAACATTATCTAGGTGGGGGGGAGAAGAGGTGGCTGCTCTTTATTTCTGAATGGAGTGCTTAATGGCAAAGATTTTATGAAGTTGTAAGGCAAGTGATAGTAAAAACTGCAGTACAGGGCTCTTGCCATTTGTGGGTGAGTGCATGTGGATGAGGGCTACTTGGAAAATTAATCTCTCTCCATCTATGCTGTAACTGAGTTTTTATCTAGGTTCATTATTGTATATATTTTTCTTTTCTCCCTTGTGATGTGTTGTAAGAATAAGTGTGTGTTCTCCATCCTCCCTCCCTCTCTTCATCCCTCCTTACCCCCCCCCCACCCCCCCCTCCAAGCTGTAGGGCCAGAAGGTGGGGTGGTACCTCAGGATAATGGTAGCAGAAGGCGAAGGAGGCAGACAGCTGGCAAGTTCTGCCCCAATATGCTTCTCTGAAAGAGGCAAGGAAAATGCAGAAGATGTGATGCCTGAATGGCTCACTTTGCAGCAAAAGGGAAGATTAAAAGTAAAATTAGTTAACATCTTGCTCATTTCAAACCGCCACACGCCAGCTTTTTGCTCCATGCCATCCCCCACCCCTTGCCTTTATTTTTGAAGAGAAGAGAAAGAGAATCCTGGGGTTGTGTAGAAATCCATGTACTGAGCAGACTTGTAAGACTGAGCACTCCAGGTAGTCTTCCTATTAGCTCTATCAGTCATCTTTATGAGACTGTCTGTTTACTGCTGTTACCTAGTCAACTGCATTCCTCCGTGAGAAGCTTTTATTTGCTGTACCAAGACAATGTTAAACAAGTGGATGAAGGTCTGGGGTAGAAAGGGAGGCTGAAGCAATTAGAATTGCTCAGTCAGGAAGGGGAGCAAGTCAGGGGATGGTATAGGCACATCTAAGGTCACCTAAGACCTTATGCTCTTGTCTAAAGAAGATCCTGTTGTTGTCTACTGTTTCCCAGTGGGAAGCGTAGGTAGAGAAGGTAGGTGGTGATGCACGTAAATTTTATTCATGTTGAAAACAGGGAACAAAAATGTTTTCTCATAGGGCAGCTTATAATATGATCCAAAAAGTAGAGCTATTATCTTCGCTGCTTCTTGTGTTCTTGTGTCAGTTTCACCAAAGCATCCTTCATTTTCAGGAAACTCTAAGCGTGTGGTGGGCTGGTAATGCTGGAAAGAATGCTCTGAGTAGAGAATTTCATTGCGTGTGTAGTTTTAAAGATGAGGTCCAAGTCATATGACTGTCCAATTTTTTTATTTTTTTTTCTGTGAGCAACTCTTTTGAAGAGGTTTTGTTCTATCCAAGTGGATCTCAACAGTATATTGTACAGTGTCTGATTTTATGTTCAAGCAGACTTTATGTTCTCAATAAAGAAGCTGCTACAGAGTCTGAAAACTCTTATATCAAAGCAATGGAAAGGAGTAAGGGCATTGATCTTAATTCTTGTCCTCACCATTGGAAATGCTGGCTAATGAGCCCACAATGTGGGATTGATGTGGGATGGGGTATTTTCTCACAGTTCATGTAGCTGAAGGTATTTCTGTTGGGTTAGTGTTTGCTAACTTGGACAGAAGACAGGCATATATCAGTGCAGAATACTTTAGAAAGTCTGTTTAGAGACCAGTGCCCTGCGCCACATGTAGAAGTGTTTTCAATAGACAGTTCTGCTTTTTTTTTTTGCAGATATTTCCCTAAAGTGCTTACCCTTGTAAGGAGAATTGAGTAACAGGTTGATAGCGGTCATTGATGCCAGCCTTGTCTCTGCTGAAGCCCAGGGCTGATGCAGTCAGCAGTCCCAATGATGATGATTTGAGGGGGGGGAAAAAAAAAGGTAACGAACTTGTAAGCTGAATTTTTGCAGGAGAGCTCTAACCCTGGAACAAACACTGACTAGCAACACTACCTGATTAACTGCTTTCCTCTCTCTAGTTTTCTTACACAAGTCAGCATGGTGCAATTGATTGCAGCAGGGGTAAGAGCACAGGTGTCTCCAGCCCTTGTTAAAGTGGAAGAAATGGAAATACTGACTGGTCCTTCAAGTATATTTAACCCCAGTTGTCACCACCTGCAAGTTGGGGTTTTCCCAGCCGGGGGTAATGGTCCTTGTTAATAGCTCTAGCTATCCTGAATTGCCACTTCAGCTGCCAATTGCTTTTTGAACAAACTTGTGTCATCTGCAGTGCCACACAGAAAAGGGTCTCACTGCTTTTCTATGTATTGTGAAAAAGAGGCTGGCCTGCGTGTGGATTGCGGACCTTAAAATAAGGGTTTGTAGTGGAAATGTTGAGTCACAGCTTGAACAAGTGATTGAGCACCTGGTGGGAAGGGAGGGCCAATGGGGGGAACACAGGTGCGTGCAATCCACCAAAGTGACTGGAAGGGATGGAGTCAGGATCCAACCCTTCCCAGACATCATTTAAGGGTTGGCAGTGGAAGCAAGGGTATCTTACTGGAGGTCTCTACCTACCTGAGTCTTTCCAAAGGTAAGGAAACTTTTTTGTTTTGTTTCTGTATCTATAGCTGCTGCATTTGGCCTTGTTCTCATTTGCTGTAGCTTAGGACTTTGCTGTCCTGCTGTTATTGCTGTGTTTTCCATCGCATTGTGGTATTATAGGGCTGAAACCTGTGCTGTAGTTGGGAAGCACTGTGTTCTCATAAATTGGCAATAAATTGGTAGCACTTAGAACTCAAATGCCTTAGGCTATGTCCTTGTGTTAATTTAACTGGATCTAGTCAACTATTCCACCACTGATTTTAAGACCTTCTAGCTCTCTTTGTGATGAGTATGTGATATGTCAAAGGTTATTGCAAGCAGTGGCTTCTTTCTGCGGTGTTGGTGGCAGTTGTGACATCAGGATGAGTAAAAGAAAAGCTTGTCTCAGATGAAGGCTGTTACCTGTGGCAGAGATGCTTTTGGAGGGCCTAGCTGTTCGGTTATGTTTGTTTCTTCACTATGAACTCATTCTATCTTGTTTTTTTTCTTCCCCTCCCTCTTATCCTTTACCATACCTGTGCATATGAATATATGAAGTTCCTATGGAGCCTGCCTCACATTGTATATTTTCCTGTGTACCTCTTATGGTGTGGGGAAAAAAAAAACACGTTAATGATGGAAAGTTATTTAGTGCTGCATGGAGTTAATTGCTTCTAATCACTGCTTACATCCATCTGGTTTTATGGTAGACAACAAACCTCTTCATTGGATTTGCTCATTAGACATACTGTAAATCACAGCGATGCTCTGGCATCTTGCATATTGTGCTCCCATTAGTTGGGCTGCATTTTTGTAGAGCTGGGAACAAAGAATGGTAGGCACTGGGAAGTGGATGGATTTCAGTCTGCTTGGGGAGAGCACCAGGGCTTGTCTTTTTTTAGCTTACCTTGAGGTTGAAAAGCATGCAGAAAAGCTGCCAAACAGCCACAATTAAGAATTTACAGGAGCACCTCAGTAGCATCTTTTTCCAGATCAGAAACTGAGGATAATGTTTTCTGCTTGGGCTGAAACTTGATGTCATTGATACTGGGTTGGTACTGGGTTGATAATTAAAAGGCATGAATTTGTTATCATAGAACCATGAAGGTTGGAAAAGACCTCTAAGATCATCTAGTCTAACCACCAACTCATCCTCACCATGTTCACTGACCATGTCCCTGTGTGCCACATCTCTTTGGTTCTTGAACACCTCCAGGGACAGTGACTCCCACACCTCTCTGGCCTGTGCCAATGCCTCACTACTTTTTCTAAGAGTAATTTTTTCCTAATATCCAACCTGAACTTCCCATGGTACAGCTTAAAGCCATTAGCTTACTAAGCTGTTATCTTTATAAAGGAAAGACAGACTTCTTTTAAAACCTGAAATGACCCTAATGCCAGCTCTTTTTGCTTTTTTATTCAGAGTGGTCACCTGTGGCCCCGTGAGTTATCTCTGGCCAGGTCCAGGACCAGATAATTAATGAGACAGGTAAGAACTGTTTGATTTCTGATACGTAGCTTGCTCAAGGCCAAGCTGCTGTTTAGATGCTGGCCTGCAGTGAGGGAGCTCTCTTTGAGAGTAAAATTCTTCTGTCTGAATGTGTTCCCTTCATTCCTTTAAAAAAATAAATAACGAAAGGACAGCAGAGCTACAGTGTGTGCTGTGTTTGCATGGAAATCTTTTTCACAAGCTATTTTGGCTGCACATAGCAATCAAGTGTTGTTAAACAGAAAACTTGCATGGGGGTGAGGGAGAGAAAGGAGCGGTGTGTGCTGCTGGTTAGCTCCACCACACTATGGGAAAATGCAGCTTTTAATTGGAGGAACGTGTCAGGTTTTTGTTTCTCCCGTTGTTGCAGTAGATGTGAAATAGCAAAATTAACTTCTCTGTTTTAAAGTTCTGTGTTGGGTCATTGGTTTCCTTTTTTCAAGTGACAACATGAATACAGGTTCAGCCTTCACTTATAGATGATCTTTCCTGTCATTTTACTTGGTGTTAGAAATCTTCAAACACTTTCAACTCTGTACTGTTTTATTCTAATAGCTTAAATGGAGTGGAGGACTATACTGTTCCTTCATACAATAGGTATATTGCTTGGAGATCTTCCCATTTAAAATGGGTAGAAGGGGAAAAACAGACTTGTTGGGGAATAAAAGAAACCTGAAAGGCCCTGCTGTGCTGTAAAGCCATGCTGGAAAGGATGGAAGGCGCTTTGCTTTGGTGTAAGATGTTCTTGGTGGTGCTCAGGGCAGAAAGGCCTCCTAAGTCAGCCTAGGGCTTCTTATATGTCAGTAATATTCTGAGTATCCTCACTTACAAGTCAGCTTGATGTGTAAGATGAAATGGTGTTACTCTTCAGTTTGACCTTGAATTGCTTTATAATTAAGAAGATTTTCCCCAGTCGATCTCACCCAAGAGGATGAAATAAGCTGGAAAAACTTGAAATGCAACTGAAATCACTGTGGACAACACAGTATTTCAGTGGCTTCTCTTTGTAGTACAGGAGGGTTTCTTGTTACTGAGTTCAGTCTACCTGCTGCATCATGGAGTCATTTTTTTAGATGGTAACACTGTCCCTCCGTGTTCATGAGCCTGGAGGATGTATTCTGAAATCTGTATGGGATCCGTTCTGTTGTGTTGTACTGGTTCTGCTAGCTATTTTCACATTCACTTTTGTGCACAGAACTCATGTCAGGTGTTATTGGAACATGCAGCAGCAGCTTCAGTGCTTGGAGCTCTGTAATAAGTGGTAGCCAAATGAGTTGTATGATGATCTATCATTGCTGTTATACTTGCAATGAGCCATGTTAATTTCTTGGATATGAGGCACACTTGATACTATAAAAATCTTGCTTGGAGGCTAGCACTTGTTTTCCTTCTTAAAGGGAGCTGTTACAATAGGCAAAAAACAGTGCTGTGTTTTCTATCTCCACCCCTTTTTCTTCCTTTTATCTGCAGCTGTACATCTTTCATCAGGAGATTTTACTTTCTGTGCTCTGTGTTGAGTGCCCATTGTGACAGGAGTTTTTTTTTTGCCATCAGGCATAGGAATGCTGATTTGGATGCCATGATAACTGCAATGTCTACCTGAAAGCAGAACCATTTATCCTGGTGGCATCTCCCTGGGGTACTCCATTCAGAAAAAGAAAAATGGTTAATAAAACTCACCGTAAATGGCCTACTTCAATTTTTGACAAAATAAGCAAGCAGGATATTAAGAAGGATATTTTCTTCCTGATGTCTTTATAAAAAATCAGTAGTGGTTATAAGAGGTTTTAGCTCCTCTTTTTCAAGCCAATCATAAATAATTCCCTAGAGAAGCTACCTTGCACAGCTTCAGAGGTGCATTGTCATCCACTAATCATGGCAGCTCTGCCAAACTGTGTCTGGTGCAGTGTGATGGATGGATGTGATTTGATGAATGGCATATGCCTGGGCACGCTATTAGAGTGTATTCACTTCAGAAAGATTAATGGTTTCAGGTTGTGCTGGCATCTTTCAGGACTCAATGTTTGAGGTTTATCTATCCATCTTCCACACATCAACAATAGCATTGTGTGCTCAAGTCAAAAAAACATAAGGGTAAATTAATATTTCCTTATAGATAGATGGAGGCTTTGACTGACTTGTGTAGCTCCTGTTACCAGTACAATTTGGCTTTCACCAGAGAAGGCAAAGAAGTCTACAGAAGCATTAGTCTCAGGTGTAACTCCTCTGCAAGGTTCCTAATTACTGGTTTTTGTTCTTTAATACGTGTACTCTCAGCCTTCTGCTTTCCCAGCACTTGCAGTAGGTGGCAGTCTCAAGCATGCACTGGGAGCTTTGCGCTGTCAAAGTGCTTAGGCTAGCTAGTAAGAACTGGGAAGAAAATGTAAAATGTAGCATTTGGAGGGTTTTTTTTGTTTGTTTGTTTGTTTGTTTGTTTTTAAAAAGTTCTTTAATATTCAGGTTTTCAAGCATTTAAGAAACTAACACCAGGAGATTGGCTAACTTGTTGATTTTTTTAAAAATACGGGTTGGAACTTCTTGATGGTCTGATGATTCTAGAAGCTGATGCATGCAGTGAAATAGTAGCTAGCACGAAGATTCAACACTGAGGAGTGGTGATGTGCCTACTGGAGGTCTTGAGAACACTGCTGGTTCCTTCCAGATGGAAGTGGAGAGTTTTGACATGAGCTGCAGCAGAGTGGAGAGGTACAGTGGAAACTGTAAGATGGAGAAAGAGACAAATGCATAATATAGATATATTTTTATACAGAAACAAACAAGGTGAAGAGAAGGCTGAAAGCAAGGCACACAAAACATGCTGCATAGATAACGGCAAGTGAAAAAGCTAATCTGATCACCAACTGGCAGCAGTTCCCAGGGGAGCACAGAGATTAGGCAGTGACCAGCTATTGTATGTCATACCCTTTGTGATCCTGTGTATATCTTCAGTAACTGATTAACAGGGCTTGTGGTGAGTTTAGTTCTGCTTGCATCAAATACAAGGCTTTCTCTTCTATCCTTGCCCAGCATGGTTGTAAGACCAACCTTGGGAAAAACCTCTTTTTGAGTTGAAACTTTTTTTTTTTTTTTTTTTTTTTTTTTTTTTTTTTTTTTTTTTTTTTTTTTTTTGAGTTGAAACCTCTTTTTGAGCTGAAACTTTTCAGATGCTGTATGCTTTGGAAAATCAGCTGCCTAGTTATCTGATTGGGAAATAGGTACTTGCAAAAGTCTCTGTGTGCTTAGTAATCAAGTTTATATATTGATAGGGGAAGCAGTATAAAGTTGGGACATCAAAAGTTTGCAAATAATGCTGTGGCTTCTCTATCTTGACTTTTTTTTTCCTCCTGGCCAAGCTCATTATCCTAGCCAAAATCACTCAATATTAGCATCCCACCCGGGTTGCTGGAGTTAGCAAAGCTCTGGAGTTTCATTTTTTTTTTTCCTGCCCGCCTGTCGAGCAGTCTGGACTCTTGGAGTGAATTCTTTTGCTTCTGCATGCAGGGCTTCCGAGAGACCGCCTGCACTGATGTGAAGTCCCCATCCCCTGCTCCTATTACATGGGCATTCAGTTTAATAATTGTGTGAGGATGGCAGACCTGCTGCCAAAGCCCTGCGCATCCAAAGTCATTTGGTGAAGGAGTCCATTATGATCATGGCTCGCAGTGATAAATTCCCTGTGATGGTAGCAGCTCACAGCAGCCTCCTCTCATAATGGCATTCTGCTCTTGTTGGCAGGGATCCCTGGGCAGGAGGCACTGCCCTGATATAGTGGAAATGATGATGAGAACAACAATAGCTAGACAAGTCTGGGTGATAGGAAAATTAGGGAGGAATTCTAGTAAATTCTTAGTTGTGGTCACTGCATATAAAGGAATTTGCAGAAGAGTTGCTGAATAGGAGCCTTGATGTCAGTGGACTAACCAAAGAAGGAGAGTTAACCTGTCTTCTGTGGGCATGTACATTGGCAGCCTGTAAACTCTGCTTTTTGATTTTCTTCCCTTTTCTGCTCTGTGCGTTCCTTTTACATTGGGTTTCTTAGTTGCTTTCTGAGGACCTGAAGGCAGATCCTCCTGTTTGTCCCAGTGGGAACCCTGGGCCAGTCCTTTCCTACAAATGAATAAACTTTAGGAAAAGAGCGGGAGAGTTGGTATTCTGTGTTTTGATGATGTTTTTTGGTGTAATTGGCATGAAGAGGGAAGAGGTGTATTTCTGTGCATGAAGGTATGTGCAAGTTTGTGGAGAGTCTGTTAAAGAGATATTATTCATCAGAAACAATTTACTAGAGATGGAGGAAGGCTTTATGCACAGACTGTAATAATTGATGGAGACCTCACTTTTTTGTCTATCTCATTAAGTCATTCAAATTGGCTCAGACTCTAGGACGGTAATCTGTTCAAATTTGTCATCAGTTTTCCTGTTTACAGACAAGTGAACACGTAGATCACAGTAAGGCAAATAAATATGCAGCTTTAATTGTCAGGAAATGGTTAATACTGATGAACTCGTTAGATATCAGTCACTTTTAGGGTGTCATGCAGTCTGTTTTCTGATTATTAATTTTTAATTGGCTGCTTATCTATTTGTACCTCCCAAGTGATGAGGAGCCCTTGCAACAGACCTTGACCCTGAGCTGTGAAGTGCTGCTAAAAGGACAGCCATGCTGCTGCAGCACTGCCAGTCTGAACTGGTTGATGTGGGGAAAGTGAGAGTCAGTGGCTGCTTGCAACAACCTGTGCCTTCCCCAGCCTAGATGATAATAAGTAATTTGATTCAGTGAAGAGAACAACTCAGTTCCTTGCTGCTTTTTCTCTGCAGGCTTGTTACGTAATCTCTGTGCAAAGCACAGGAGAACTGAAAAATTAATCATCTCATCAGCTACTTTATGTGTCTTAAAGATTACTCTGTGCGTGGCTGCAGAGCAGAGAGGACGTGCCTTTTTTGCTAGCTAGTTTATTAAGTGACGATTTTCTTTTTTGTTGGGTTATTTGCTAGTCCCTTGCTCCTTTTGTCACTTGCCCTTGGCTGTGGTATAACCATGAAACATTTACTACAAAGCCATGAAGAATCCATATGTCCGTTTGATCTGTTAGGCCACCAAGAAGCCAGGGCTTGTGGGGTAGCATAAGGATATCTGAAGGTGACACATGCTGTCATTTGATGAACAGAGATGCAGAAGGGGATTCTGGCAGCCACTACCTTGGCCTTGACAACTTGTGATGGTGACCAGGTGGGGTGTGTTATCTTAATAGTCTGGAGCTCTTGTGAATTATTTGCTGATAGATGTAAACAGCTGTTATTCTTGGTAATGGAAAGCAATTAGAAACATCTGTACTCTTGGCGATGAGTAATGCCTCCCATCTTCACTGCTCCCAAGTGCCAATTGGAAATAACTACATCATCAGAATGGGGCTGGCAATTCTACACCGCATTATGGACTGATGATTAGTACTGAGCTGTGAAGAACAAGAGGTGAAGTGCAATAGAACTAGCTCGTACCTGTGTTTGCTTCCTTTTTTGGAAGAAGTAGGAGGAATTTGCTTTTTTCTCTGTAAAGAGGAAGAAGGCACTTTTTACTTCCCTGCCAATCCACATGTGACTTGATTTTTAAGCAGCCTTGAATTGGTGGATCTTCTGGAGCTGTAAGTCAAGACTAAGACACGATGGAATCCTACAGCTCTCCTATTCAGCTTGTTCTGGTTAAACTGCATGTCCACCAGATGCCTCAGCAGAGTGAGTATGTCTAGATTTCAGGGGCTTGCCCACAGCTGAGGTGAAAATGTTGATTTGGTTGCACTTGAGTTTTCTGTAGGACAGGACCAGTGTACCTCTCTCCCTGTAGAAGAGAAGGCACATGCAGTGGCAGGATGTGACAGTTCTGGATAAACTATGATAGGCAATGGCTGCATCACCTGCTAGTTCAAAGGGAAAAAAAAGGCTTATCTAGCTTGTTTTCGTGTGCTAAGTGGCTGTGCAAATCCACATGCAAGGGAAGAAGCAAACATGGGTTTACTTGTTTTTCTGTAATGGTAAAAGCAAGTACAGAACTTGGGAGGTGTCCCGTTCCTTCTCCAAATACTGCAGACTCGATGTTTCTGAATGCCCATCGTGTATTTTAACTGTTTTCTTTAGAATTAGGGGCTAGCTTGTAGTTTCATGTGAAGAGTTTCAGATGCTTGACAGGATGAGCATTATAACATGTGGTCTGCGGACTGAGATGTGTGGCCTTTAGGAATCCCCGTTATCAAGGGCACTGTAGAGAATTTGCTTGTGATAGGTGCTACAGTACTGTGTAATAGTATGGCTGAAATTGAAGACTTAAAAGATTAATTTTGAGTTGGAATATTAAAAACTAAATAGAATGTTTTAGCATAATGACATAACTTTAAATCAACTAAAATGGGATTAATAATAATCATGTTAACTCTTTTCATTAGAATAAGAAATTTAACGCTAAATTATTAAGTGATCAAATTTATGAGGCATGAGTTAGTAAAGATTTTTTACCAGCATAAATCATGTGACGTAACTTCTGTCCAGCAACTACTGCAAATCAGCAACTGTGTTAAGCTCTGGAGGGCATGAATAATGCAAACAGGTTGGCGTTGTGACCATTGCCAGAATATGGCTATTTGTGCTCAAGTGGACTATTCCTCACAGCTGTTCAATCAGCTCTGGTTGGTGAAGATGATGTCAGGTGGTGAATGATACATAAGGTTGAACTCTCCTGCACTTCAACAGGTGTTTGTATATAAAGCTTAACATTTGGTGAAAAGCCCTGGATGGTAACTGGTGAGGTCCTTGCAAATACCCCTGGAGAATCTGTGATTTCTTAGTAACAGTTGTCCTGCTAGTATGAGACACTGTTTTTTTCCGTAGCAATCTTTACCTTAAATTTCTGAGGCCAAATTCTGTAATTGACTTAAGTGCCTGAGCATTAAATAAATGTATAGGAATTTAGGTTTTGTTGCTCAGAGATGATTTGAGAGATGGCTTTAAAAGGTGCCCTTCTTTCCTCAGAGGAGAAGTCTGTGTGACTTTTCCAAGTCAGTTCCGTGAATCTCTGTTTCTCAGGACTTGTTTACAGAGTAACAGAATGGCCTGGGTTAGAAGGGACCTAAAGGATCATGAATCTCCAACCACCCCTCTGCCACAGGCAGGGCCACCAACCTCCACATTTACTATTAAACCAGGCTCCCAGGGCTTTATCCAACCTGGCCTTGAGCACCTCCAGGTTTGGGGCATTCACAACCTCTCTGGGCAGCCTGTTCCAGCATCTCACTGCTCTCACGGTGGCATTCCTCCTGATATCCAATCTAAATCTTCCCTCCTTCAACTTAAAACCATTTCCCTTTGTCCTGCAGTTATCTACCCTTTCAAAGAGTTGACTCTGCTCCTTTAGGTACTGAAAGGCTGCAATGAGGTCACCTCGCAGCCTTCTCTCCTCCAGGCTGAACTCCAGGCTGAACAAGCCCAGCTAACTCAGCCTGTCCTTGTCGGGGAGGTGCTCCAGCCCTCAGATCATCTTTGTGGCTCTCCTCTGGACCCTCTCCAACAGCTCCCTGTCTTTCTTATACTGGGGGCTCCAGACCTGGACACAGTACTCCAGATGGGGCCTCACAAGGGCAGAGTAGAGAGACACAGTCACCTCCCTGTCCATCCTGGCTACCTCTCTTCTGATGGAGCCCAGGATATCATTTGCTTTCTGA